AAAAAAAAAAAAAAGATTGATTCAGTCAGTGTGGAAGAACTTGACGGGTCTGCACAAAGCCGAGTCCTAATCCCAGCTGAACACCTCTGGTGCGACTTTAAATGCAGACCTTGAGCCAAAAACTCATCACCAAACACCTGTGACTTGTACATACATATGGACAAATGTATTAGGACACCCCCTTCTTTAGAACAGAAAAAGGCACTTCCAAAACTGTGGCATCAAAGATGGAAACATAATTCATGTATTTAAAAATTGTATTTCCATCTTTGTTGCCACAGTTTTGGAAGTGTCTAAAATGATTGTACGCATATGTACAAGTCATTGGTGTTTGGAGTTTTATTTGTATGTTTGGTGCGGTAGGGGGCCCAACCTCATATTCTTTCATAGGGCCCAAAATTGCTAGCGGCGCCCCTGAGTTAATCAGTTTTGTCCAGTATTGTTCGCATCTACATGCCTACCATTTCAAATAAGTCATTTTCTCCATCATCTCAAATAATGTAATAATGCTTAGAATACAAGAATTTAAATCTTCTTGGGCTTTTCCAGGTTTTATGATGGAAATGGCCTCCTGGGATGGAGGAATCTCACGGACTGTCCAGTTCCTTGTTCCACAGGTACGTTTTGGCCTCACGGACAGTACAACAGTCTTTTTTTTTCAGTCTAATAAGTGACTATTCAGGAAATGCTTGCAATTTGCAAAGGCAATGGATTCAATTAAATTATAATTCAGTCTGTATTTTCAAACAATAGTATCCATCGTTTGACACATGCTTATATGCTCAGGGGACTCTTCACATTCACAGCTGCTTGTTTTACTCTTTAGCACCTTTTAAAATAACTCCCCTAAACTCCTGTCTAGATGTCGCACACACTGTATACTTACACTGTGTATGTATACTCTACTGTTTTGGTTAGTAAAAATATAGTAAAACAGTAATATTGTGGAAATTCCATTGCGATTTAAAATGACTGTTTTCTATGTTTTAAAGATTGATGCAAAGCTGAATATTCAGCATCATTACTCCAGTCTTCAGTTTCACATGATCCTTCAGAAATCATTCTAATATGATGATTTGCTGCTAAAGAAACATTTATTATTATCTATGGTGAAAACAGTTATGCTGCTTAATATTAGAATAGAAATAGAAACCATGATTCATTTTGATGAATAGAAAGTTCAAAAGAACAGCCTTTATTTGAATCAGATTTTTTTCTGACAATGTAAAAGTCTTTACTGTCAGTTTTGATCAATTTAATTGCAAAATAACATACTTTTGAATGATAGCGTATTTGCTTAATTTGTTTTATTTACTAACAAAGTGAAATTGTTTTAAGAATGTGGCATCAATCTGTCTTTCTGATTTTCTTTTATCATCAGAGTATCTCAGAGGAGATGTTCTACCAGCTGAGCAACATGCTGCCTCAGATCTTCAGAGTCTCCTCGACGCTCACGTTAACGTCAAAACGCTAAACAAGCCACACACAGACACATCAGCCCTTGTAGCTGGCAATATGGAGGACATCTTGTCTCTTTAGGTTCTTAGTTTTCAGAGAAGTACAAACCGTAAGCTGTTTTGATATGCACTGACATGTGATACTGTCACAGGTGGCTTAGCACCATGTCCTGATTATTTCAGTCATGAATTTTCACTGGAATTCACAGATTTGTACATTCCACATCAAAAAACGCATTAAATATGAGAGGGAAGTGTTCAGAGTTTTAGCTCTTGTCATACTGTGAGTGCTGTTTACCTAACGCTGCATGGGAAACAGGTAATGCCAAGACAAGCTGTGTGTTTGTGCGGCATTGCAGTCAACCACCTTTGGCCCCTGGTGTCATCGTTCCTCTCCACAAACGCCAGATGGCGCTGTGTTCGGTAGCTTTCACATGTGGTGTAAGGTAACCAAAGCTGCTGATTCCAAATGTCAAAAGAAACCAACCTTCCAAGCTTTCTAAGTGATTTACCATGTGTTTGTATATTAGGTGCCAGTTGTAAACCCTGGCATGTGTGCAGTTATATTTGAACTGTGCAATCTTTGGAAAGTGGGGCATTTGAAAACAGTATCAACTGTTTTTTTTATTGTAAATCTAATCTTTAATAGACTTATTGATCAGGCTAGTGAGAAAATTATGTCCAGTTTTGTATTATTATTTTTTTTAAAGCCTTTACACAGAAAATCTGCATATTAACTACTGTCTGTTAAGTGTTTTGTTGGATTCCTCCTAATGAGGATATTAGCATATGAAGTAGCAAAGTAGGGCTAATCTGAGAGTTAAAGCATTTGCATCTATATTAGCCTTTTGTCCAAAACTACTGACATGCTAGTTACATGTGCATTGCGAAATGTCAAAGTTTTGTAAATACAGTACACTTTATCAAATTAACTCAGAATTTTCCTATTTGATAATGAATTGATAAAATGAGTTTACTGCAGGTCTGCTGCCTCATAATATATATATATATTATGAGGCAGCAGACCTGCAGTAAACTCATTTTATCAATTCATTATCAAATAGGAAAATTCTGAGTTAATTTGATAAAGTGTACTGTATTTACAAAACTTTGACATTTCGCAATGCACATGTAACTAGCATGTCAGTAGTTTTGGACAAAAGGCTAATATAGATGCAAATGCTTTAACTCTCAGATTAGCCCTACTTTGCTACTTCATATGCTAATATCCTCATTAGGAGGAATCCAACAAAACACTTAACAGACAGTAGTTAATATGCAGATTTTCTTTGTAAAGGCTTTAAAAAAAATAATAATACAAAACTGGACATAATTTTCTCACTAGCCTGATCAATAAGTCTATTAAAG